TATGCCTCTTTTATTTTCAGCAGCGTGGGTCACAGGCTTGGGTAGTTTGTCATCCATTCTATCTTAGAAATTTTTGTTTGTTCATTTTTTTGTTTTTAGACAAGGTTTCATTATTTTCTCTGGCTATCCTGGAACTTACTATGTATACCAGGCTGGCCTCAAACTCACAGAGATCTGCCTGCCTCTGCCCCTCAAGTGCTGGGATCAAAGGCGTGCGCCGCCGCACTCAGCTATGATTTTTTTTTTTGAGCAAACAGTAAGTACACAGATCTTGACTGTACAGCTTGGTAATTTTTTGCATATGTGTGTACTTCTGTGACTACCTGTCAGATCAGAGACATGTTTCTGCCATCCTGGAAGGATACAGAGTAACAGGTATGGACAGTCAGGGTTCAGCCAGAAGTCCCCATGATTGTATGGACCTGAGACATAATGAAAGGAACTCTGAGTTTCCATAAAAGTGACAACCCAAGCTGGATGGTGGAGACTGGAAGATGAGGAGCTAAATTTGGTAGGGATGATCCCCTAGATTATTGCCAAGACATCAGTGAACCAAGCGCCTTAAGAGGCTTAGTACTGGTCTGATTGTTGCCCTGACTGGAGGGACCCTTGTTGTCTGGCTCTGCCCTATTTTTGTCCTGCTGGATGATGACCTCCTGTTGCCATATTTAATTTTTTTTTTTTGGGAAATTAGGACTCTAGACTGTTTGAAATCCATCTATTTTTAAGTGCCGACAATTTTTCTTTCTTTTTTTAAAATCTTTTTTGGTGCTGGAGATCAAGTCCAGAGCCTTGGACTCACACTACTGCCCTCAAGCTACACTTGAATTGTACAATGTTCCTAGATCCATCGGTACACGTTTTAGAGCTCGAGTTGACCTGCTACCCACCATTTTTGAGAAAAGCATCTCCGAGCGAGGGAGCTGGCTTAGTTGGTAAAATGTCTGCTGTGCAAGCATGAGAATCTGAGCTCAGGTCTCCAGCACACACCCACACAACTGCTGGGCAGCTGTGGAGGCTCCTTTGTAACCTCAGTGCTCAGGAGGTGGAGGCAGGGGATTCCTAGGACAAGGGTGGCTAGCTCTGGGTTCAAGAAAGACAGAGAGAGAGACCCTGTCTAAAGTATGGCAGAGCATGATTGAGGAAGACATCCAATACCAACCTTTAGTTTCCACATGTGCAGGAGTGCAAGCGCAAACACACACACACACACACACACACACACACACACACACACACACACACACACGTGAACATGGATATACCGCATACAGGTAGCCCCTCCTCAGATAAACAGCCAGGCACGGTGACTCAGGCCAGTGATCTCAGCGCTCAGAGCCTGAGGCAAGCGCATTATCACAAGTCGGAGGGTGAGTTTAGGCCATGCTGGACTACAGAGGCCCTTCCTCAAAAAAAAAAAAGCTATGCAGAGAAAAAAAAAAAAAAAAAAAAAAAAAAAAAAAAATGGAAGAAGAGAATCTCATAAGTACTCGAAACTATGCAATAGTTCTCATACTGGCTGGAAATTTTAGTTGGGAATCTGACCTTCATTAGTGTTAGGAGGACTGGGAGAGAACTGCTGGTGAATACCAACACCTCTTCTTTGGAGAATGCCCTCCATGATGGGCTACACTACTAGTCACAGGGAGTATTTATAATATCCAAGAATAATAAGGCCAAGAATAGTGAAATTCAAAAGATTGTGTCTAAGTTTTCCTATTCTATTATTTTCAGATAAGAAAAGTCTGTTTTAGGGCCAGCAAGATGTCTCCATGTGTAAGGATACTTGCCACCAAGCCTGACGACCTGAGTTCAATCCCTGGGACCTGCAAGTTGGAAGGAGAGAACAGAGCCCTGCTGATTCTCCACTGATTCCTGCTTGTTCATGATGTAAGCACATGCAAGAGGGCACACACACCAAATAAAAAGTTTTAAAACAGAAAAATCTGTTTCAAGGAATCATAGGCCTAAATGTAAGAACTAAAACTCTCCAGTCTTAGAAGGATACTAAAGAGTCATGATCTTGGTTTAGGCAGTTTTCTTAGATAAAATACCTAAAGCATACATGAATGACACAATAATAGACTTCATCAAAACTAAAAATTCATGTTCAAAAGGAATTACCTGTGGGGTTATTGCTCCCTCTCCACGGCGGGGCGGCTCGGTGGGGGAGGGATGAAGGAAACAGAGTCATGACGAATTTCCTGGAAGCAGACTCCAGAGACCAGCATGGAGGTACAGATCTGGTTTAACTGTATGTTCACTGTCATATATGCATACATTACCCAATCAGTTAAGGCCATGTCAAGTTGCTGTCCAGTGAGTCCGAATGACACACAACCGTGTTATGTGGGGGTGTGCAGTGGGGGCAGTATGTCCAGGCTGTGTGTGTGTGTGTGTGTGTGTGTGTGTGTGTGTGTGTGTGTGTGCAGACAACGGGCAGGAAGCAGGCAACGCCCTAGGTTTTGGCGCCAAACTAGAGGGTCTCCAGTTAGCTGGGACTCCATTATGAGTCATCTGGTGTTCCAGAGACTCAGGTCTGCTCAGACAGCCGCAGGGGGTGTTGGCGCTTCTCACATTCCTTTAGTGACACCATCTGAACAGAGACTGACCCCTCACTTACCAGGAAGTGCAAAGAGGCCTCCAAAGAAATACAGAAGACAGATATCCAGGATACAGAAAGTACTTACCCTGTCAATAAAACCAGTTGTAAAATGGGCAAAGATTCTGAGGAGACTCTCTCTCTCTCTCTCTCTCTCTCTCTCTCTCTCTCTCTCTCTCTCTCT